AGTAATATTGTTATCAGTCCTATACTCTTAAACATGCAGGTATCCATAACTTCATTTATGTTGAGATTAAACAAACTAAAGCCAGCTAAAATCATTCTGAACAAAGAATAACAGTATTGCTGGATTTCACATCATGACACTCCGAGATCAGTACTGGGTACTGTAGTGTCTTTTTTTTTTTTTTTTTTTTTCCAATTTTATTTAAAGAAAGACAAAACAAAATAGAAAATGGTAGAAATAGTACATACTTTCAAAGAAAAAATAAACAGTAAGAAATCACTAGTTGATGATTACAGATTGCCCTCTTACAAATAGTTATTCACGATACTAAAGTGGAGCATATAAAGTGGGGATTCAAACAGCGAGACTGCAACCAGTTCTGTTCAACTAATCAACAAGAACTTAGAAATATTGTTATCAATCCTATACACTTAAACATACTTGCAGTTACCCATATCTTCAATTATGTTGACATTAAATAAACCCAAGCAGGCTAATATCACTCTGAACAAAGAATAATACTATTGCTGGGTTTCACATTATGACACTCCAGGACCAGCACTGGGTACTTTAGTGTCTCTTTTCCTTATAAGTATTTGTTCATTTCATCATGTATCATAAGATCATTTCTCATAAACTGTTTATAGGTTCTACACACGCATGAGTCTTCACATGTATTTCTGTCATTTCTATATTAGAGGGAGAAACAAAACAAAGCAAGACAAAACAAAACATATTCCTATAAACACATGAAACAAAAAAAGACATCTAAGAACATTATACAAGGAGTTCTACCATAGTTCCCATGTTGTCTCTTGTTATCTCCAATAGAATTGGCTATCTCATCAGACAGAGTATAATTGAATATATCAGTACATAACAGTATTAATAAAAACACAACTTTGTATGTAGTATAAAACTTCAAAAAAGCCAGTAATCAAACCAAAATGTGTATCATAGTGAGTCTTGCCATCTTCAGTGTAGTTGCCTATACTCTCAGACTTGATACTATGAATCAAATCAGTTTTGAATAAAATCTGTCAATACCAAGCAGCAATAAAACAAACCAGATTAACTAAGATCAGTCATGATAATACAGTATAAGTCATACAGGGCTCCAGATTAAGTTAATAGGAAATTAATGATGATTACTGTGCTATACTCTAATGCTTTTGGGATAGCTATCTGTGTCCTCAAATCTAATGCACGTAGACAAACTGGGATAGAATAAAATCTACCTAAGTAGAGTGGTGTGAGTAATGTGGGTTTTAAATCCTGATACACTATTGAAAATATCTTCTGTCATCTTTTTTATGACACTCTCTCCTGTTTCACTTCCCCAGGGTACACTGTGTATTTTGGGTCTGACCAAGACCCTTGGTTTTAAATTGGGGGGCAACCTTCTATTTACCTAAGTGGTTCCGAACCTTCTATCCCCTGGACTTGATCTCTAATTATATTCCTTTACCTATTAAAGCCTGTCTTTCCAACCTATTCACAAATATTTTTTAGTTGCCCCTATTACTTTCTGGTCCTCTTTCACATAAATCATTGTTTTCTTATATTTAATTTTCAGTCCATATACTCTTTTTTCATGTTAATTGTATTTCCTAAAAATAGCACCTCAGTGGACCTTACCTCCTAATCTACTCTACTTGTGGTTCTTCTTTTTTTTTTATTTAGTGTATCAAGTCCATCTATATTAGAGATTATAACCAACCTTCTCTGCTTCATTTCTGTTATACTCTTCTTTTGTCATCTGTTGTCTACTTGTCTTATTCATTCTGTTTTCTGCTCCATTCATTGAAACCTCTCTGCCACTGTTCCGGGAATCCTAGTACTTTTCTCTGTAGAATACCTTACAGTATTCTCTGTAAAGTTGGATTGGTGGTAGTGAATTTCCCAAGTTCCTCTTTGTCTTGGAAGCATCTTGTTTCTCCATTAGTTTCTAGAGACAGTTTAGCAGGGTATATCAATCTGTGCTGGAGGTTATTTTCTTTCAGGCCTTGGACTATTTTGCTCCAGGCTCTTCTTGACTTGATGATTTGTGTCAAGAGGTCTGCTGTTATTCCGATGAGCCTTCCATTATAGGTTATCTGTTTCTTGCCTCTAACGTCTTTTAATATTCTGCTCTTCTATTGAATTTCTGGAATCTTATTACATGCCTGGGTGTAACTTTGTTTTGGTTGTAGGTGGCTGGAATTCTGTATGCCTTATACATCTTAATATCATTTCCTTTTCCTATGTTTGAGAAGTTTTCCTTAATTATTTCTGTGAATAGACTTTGTGGTTCCTTTGTTCCTACCCCTACTTCTTCATTCACATTTTTTTATTCTCAGTTATAGATCCTCTTGTCATCTTTTAGCCTTTGTATTGGTACTGCTTGTTTCCTTGTTATTTTTTAAAAAAGTTTTTCCTTTTATAATCTCACATTGCAAACCTGTCCTCCAGTTTGGATAATCTATCCTTAGTTTCTTTCAAGCAGTTTTGCCATCTTCCATAGAGTTTTTAATTTCCTGATAATCTCTTAGAAACTGCTTCATGTATTTTATATTTTCTTTATATTCTTCATCAAATGGCTCTCTCCTTTGTTTGAGTTCCTCCATTCTTCCATCTGTGTCTTCTTGAGGGGTGCTTAGCATCACTTTTATTGATCTTTTTATATCTTGCTTTACTTGGCTAAATATTTCCCTTTTGAACTCAACTATGAGGTTCCAAAGATATCTTTATGTCCAATGGTGCCATGTCTGACATTGCATGTTTGCTGTTCTCATTCTCCTTTGTGTTTATCTGTCTGGGTCAATATTCTCAGGGTTGAGACCTGGGAACCTTTTCTTGTTACTTCCTCTTCCCATCTTTTTTATTTCTTCCAGGAAGCCCCAGTTTCTTTCTTGGTTGGTTACAATTCTTCTGAAACACACTAGCCAGGTGACCCTTCTCATTGCAGTGTGCTAGTGAGTTGCAAACAGGGGCAGTGTATGCTGGCCCCTCTCCTCCAGATTAGTCAACCTACTGAAGCCTTCACTGTATTAGAAATCTTGTGCCACCTCCCCTCCGGGTCAGTCAACCTGCTGAGGGCTTCACTGCGTTAATGTGTGCTGGTGCCATAGGGAATTGATTTTTGATAACCTATTGGGTCTCAGCAAGTTCACGTGACCCAGGCCAAGCTCACTCCACCAATCCTGTTTGGGAAGGGAATGACTGAATGAAGTCACTGCTGCCCCTTGACTTGCCAGTCCTGACCCTTCCCAGAATGTCATCTGTTGGAGCCTCTTTTTCTGTGGAATGATTTTATTCCTGTTACTCACCACAGGTTGATGCATTTCCCTGATAGCTCAGCTCCTCATTTGGCTCTCCGACCCTTGACCTCAATGTGACTGTGTTACCAGTAAGTCGAAGCAGTGGGATTTTGCACAGTGAGGTAAGTCGCCTCCATGTGATTCGGGTTCTGCAGCAGGAGCTCTAAACCATTAACTGTTCCAGTAGTAGCACAAGGACCGTATGTTTGATTGGTTCTTCTCACCTTAGTTCTTCTTGGGGTGAGAAAATTCGTCTCCCTCTGTTTGGAACTCCTCACACTGTATTATGTTTAATTCTAAATTGACTATCTCAGGGAGCCTCTGTAGCCTGCTGTTATCTATCTGCCGTATTCGTTCCTTTGTGCCAATCAGTCTTGACTGAAAATTTGAGTACAGTGAATGATGTCTGGTAGGTGATTGGATCATAGAGTGCTACACTCACCAGTGGGTGAATCCACTCGTATTCACAGCTGAACATACAGTCAAAAGGTGGGACCCACTTGGAGGTGGTGGTGGGTAACTGAGGATGTGCCTTCAGAGGATAGACCTCTTGCTGGCAAGGTTCCCTGAGCTCTCCTTCCTTAGTGCCACAGAGTAAGCTGCTTTGGTACAACACTCACTTCTGCCATGAGGCTCTGCCTCACCTCAGGTCCACAGCAATGGAACCAGGCTGCAATGTACAGATATTTCTGAAATTGTGAGCAAAACAAGCCATTCCCTCCTTTAAGTTATTTATGTCACATATTTCTTGTCAGCAACAGGAAAACTGACCAACCTAAGGAACAGCCAATTTTCTGAGTCAATTTTTTCAAGTATTCTTTTTATTCAAAGGTAACCTAGTGCTTTTTAGAAGGGTAACAATTTTGAAACACTTAAGAAAAACATAGTCATATGTCTGTCTTTTGAAATAGGTGACGTATTGTTTTCTGAAGCTGGTGATTATTCTATAAGATTCCAGTCTTGGAAAATAAAATAGACACAGAATCCAATTATACTTCTTTCTCCTTTTTCACATTTAAAATGGTGAAAAAAGGGATTTTGATTAATGTTAGTGTATTTCCTACAACTAATCTCTTACCATTAAATTTGTAAGAGACTATTACCCCAAAATTCAGGAAATGTATGATGATTGTTACCATTTAGGAAATTCCCCATGACCTTCAAGTTCTGCTGGCTTCAAGTAGGTCAGAATTTCCTTGGTCTTGGTGGAAAGAGGATTTTAGTCTTTTTAAGATGTGACTTGTTTATACGGCACTTACATTTAGACCCCATGTTTGTCTCCTTCAGGGCACAGAAGTATTTAGTAATTGATTTTCTTCTTGGATGGTTGACAAACCTTTTTTATGGGCATGAAGAATCGTTTCCACTGGTGGTAGTAAATTTTTTAGGGAAGCTGCAGCACAGGTGGAGATTTGCTTCTGCCCAGGTCTTGTCTTGTCACACCATTCTTTTTACCTACACTGAAGTGACGGCAACCCTGCTGGCCCTTGGGAGTGCTTTGAAGAGCCTGAGAGATCTGACTTGAAAGCCAAAAGATGAAGAAAGGGACAATATTGTGAGGGAATCGGATGAAATATTTGTTAGGCAGGAGTTTTCCTGATTGCAAATGTTTTTGAGAAGGGCTCAGTGGTCTTGGAAAAGGAGACAAGAAGTCAAAAGCAAATGTCCAGAGAAATTTCTCTCAGGCAGTATTCATTGTTTTATAACATGATATGTTACGATTTTGTATGTCATCCTTGCATAAGGATCGTGCTGAACTTCTCTGCATTTTTCGAATTTTAGGGTATGTGCTGCCAAAGCCAGCACCGAAATACTTTCTTTTTGAGTAACAAAAACTGTGGAGTGGGTATCTTTTCTAAGCCATGCTAAATTATAGTAATCTTTTTAAAATGTAGATCAACCCACAATATTTTACCTTTTATGCTTCCTTTAAGCAAAATAGTTTTTGCTGCTACAATTTTTTTCTGGAACATACTTATTTTCTTACTTATTATGGTCAGCATCATTTTCCTTGTTCACATCAGCATTAATTTCCTGTGCTTGTTTATCTTTAGTTTCCCAAATGGTGGCCGGGTATTACCACAAGCAACTATTTCTCCTATAAGTCCATTATTTTGTGTGTGAATTTTGTTTCTAGCATTATCACTTTTAATTTCTTTCCTGAAATTTCATGTTTGATGCCCAATTCCCTCTTTAACCTATGTGTCAATCAAAGCAAAGGAAATATGAGCAAATACACAGTGGAATACTTGCGAGCTTTAAAAAGAAGAAATGATGTTATTTGTACAATGTGGGTGAAGTTTTTGAGGACATTGTGACAAACAAAATAACCTAAACAAATGACAAACATTGCATTTCCTCACTTTTATATGGCATCTAGTGCATTTGAAGTCACAGAAGGAAAAACACTGAAAATGATGTTGTAAATAGTTATTGATCAGAATGTACATCTGTTATTTGTATAGTAACTGGTGGATAAAGAGCAGCAAGGAAATTTGTACTTTATGTAATCACAAGAATTAGAGCGTGGAAATTGAAATTTGACCCATGTTATTGGGAAATTTCTTTTATTTAATTGAACCATAGTAATTGATATTTATGCATATTGGAACTGTGCAAGGCAAAAGCTGTCTTATTTTGCTGCCTCGCAAAACTACTGTTAACTACTGTACTAAAAGTACTGCTGATGGACTGACTTTTATGTAGTCATAATCATTCAGTTTAAACACAGTTGGATTATTTCCTTTTGAAAAATATTAAGGTATCATAGCTTCTCAAGTTTTGACAATACTGATTTCAAAAGTCATGCAAAAATTTAATTATTTTACATTATGTTAATAAACAAAAGAAGAAAGAACATTGAAGAAGAAACAAAGCAAAGACAACTGAAAGGGTGGGAAAAAGTATAACTTGTAGATGTTCTAGCCTTATTTTTCTCCCCTTCTAGTTTGTGGATAGAACTTTGAGGGTGAACTGGGAATTTTCATGTGGTATGACATTTTAACCAAGTGATGCTCCTGGTAAATACATTTGAGTCACATGGAGTTCTTTAGGTATCTATTGGTGCGATTTCATCTCTATAAACTTAGGAAGAAAATCTGGAGGGAAGAGAAAAAAGTAAAACATTGAAGCCCTTTTCTCCGTATTCCCCACAAAGCAAGGACATGCCTGCAATTTGCATTTTTACTTTAAAGTCCTTGGTGGCACTGCCAAGTCACTGGTTGAGCAGGAATGGAGTGGTGCCTTAGAAAAATGAAACATTTTTTTAAAATCTATGATGTTACTTCCATGATACTTCTTATCCTCTCATTGAGTAGCACATTCCATCATGCAGAAGCTTCAGAATTTACAATTTTAGTATGAATGACAATTTTTTTTTAATGAAAGCCTCCTCCTACTGTAGTCATTAACTTCAACATTGCTGGGCACATGAAGTTTAGCCACAGACATAAGCATTTGTAGACATTCCACTCTTACTTTCTGGCAAGCTTAAGTTTATTTTTTCTTTGTAAGTACATTTACTATCTCAGTATAAGGAGCACTTTTATTTACACTGAGATACAAAATTCACCGTTTATCTTTTCAATGATCATGTTAGTAGACAGCAGCCTTTTCATTCCACAGATTCAGACCCCTGATTTCTAATGCAGTTTTGAATAAAATCTGTCAATCCTATAAAATATACCCCTAAAATTGCTACATTGCAAGTAAATAATGACACACGTGACAGTCATCTGTAACTTTTCATTGCTTTCTCATCCTTGAAGTTTATTTCCCATATAAATATTGGCAAGAGCATATTTTATCCATAATTCAAAATAATTACTCATAGTTTGAAGCTCTGAATGAGGTGGAGAAAAGACTTAGCTTACAAAGAAACACTGAAAGTCAGAGTTGCCACGTTTGATCTTACAAAAGCAGTTAAATTGTCCCTGAGGAAGTACTGCAGCTTTCCTGTCCACAAAAGATCTTAGTGTCCGTCTTCATTCTTTTATTAAAATTTATAATATAATATTTGAAACATCACTTAATTTCCTTGAGGAAAATTAATAGCTAAAAGTAAATTATTTTAGGAACAATGACTAAGTGACTAAAACCACTTTTATGTCTCATTCTATTTTCATGTAAACTAAGAAAGCTTATCTAGTTGCACCTCCTGGGTGTGGGAACAAGGATCTCAGAGGTGACATAGAAAGATTGGAAGAAAGTCTAGCTTTGCCAATCACAAGTTCTGTGACTTTGCATGAATGTCATTCTTCTCTGACATTTAGTTTCCTCAAGGGTAAAAATAGGAATTAAAAAATCTTTTTGCCATATAGGATTATGAAGATTAAAGATTCATAAAAATTGTGTGAGAAACAGTGATAATTTTAGATATCAAAATAATGAATCTAGTAAAAATAGCTAATATATCAATTACTAAGATTTTCTAAAGTTTAAAAAAGCTTTAGAAAGTAATGTTGAATTTATAGATGAGAAAATGCTTGACTTTATAATTACTAGAGAAAATATTTCAAATAATGATAGGTCTGATAATCATTTTAATGCTTTATTAAATAGTTATTTCCCAAAATATAAAAATTGGCTGCTTTGTCTTTTTTCATATATATATATACTGGTTTGTACTTTATGTACAAAAATGATATTTGCTGAGCCCACAAATAATCTTCATATTATGATCTCTAGACAATAGTGGAATAATATATGAAAATATTTGCTGATTGAACGAATAATTAGGTTGAGTAAATCAAGAGATAAGTATTCAAGATGCGGTCATTTAACAGAAAACAAATGCACCCCTCCCACAGACTTTTTTCACTTCTAGGGTAAAGATGAAGATGATTACTGTAAATGTCACTCCTTGTGATGATAATAACAGGCATCTTTTACTCTGGAATGTGAATAGTGGAAGAATTTTAAGAATATCATGAAAAAGGAGGATTAAATTTTCTCCAAACATTATTTCTGAAGCAATATTTAATCAATATTGACGTGTGATTATTTTAACACTGAACATACTTATAATTTTATTATCAATACTTTTTTTTTTTTTCTTTGAGACAGGCTCTTGCTGTGCAGGTCAGACTGATCACCGATTCACTTTGTAGTGCTCACTGGTCTCGTACTCTCAGCAATGCTCTTGCCTGAGCCTCCAAGCTCTGGGATTACAGGCATGCACCACTGCACCCAGCTAAATATCTTTCATAGTTTAACAATAGTAGAGAAATGGCTATATCCTGGGACAGTTGTATTAAATGAAATAAATAAGACACACAGACTTAAATATTATGTAATTTCCCTTTTATGGAAACCCAACATATAGATAACAAAAATAAAAGACAAATAATTGAGCAAGGGAATAGATTTTTGATGAATGAGAAAGGGATGAATAGATGGAGGGGCAGAAAGTGAAAGAAATAAGTAAAAGAACTTAAGATATGTTACATATGTGTGTCAACCCCACATGATGAATGTAAATATTATGTACTCAAGCGTGTATGAGTAAAAATAAAAAGCCTGAAATAATAGAAATGCAAAGAAAAACAACCTTAAAATGAACATCTCAAATTTGCTGGAGAAAAACACAGTTATAACAATGGTCTACTAAAGTTTCTCATTTTTATCTTTGACTTATGATGTCATAGATTTTGGGAAATCAGAGAGTTTTGCATTCACTTCCTTGTGGATTCAGAAAACCCTAAGTAAGGAGAGTATTTAGCAGATGTTAATTGAGCAACGTAAGTATCTGCCAATGAAAGAAAAATGGATCATGCAGGAACTCACTGGGAACTGTGGTCCATATTTTAATCTGCTCAAGTATTACTTGGAAAATACATTTAGGTGCTGTTTCAAATATTTCACAAATAAATGAAGTTAATTCTTCACAATGAGAAGAATTTAAGTATAACTACAAGGACAGAACAGAAACTAAGAGTTGAAGTGACTTATTTGCCCAAGTTAATACCATTCCTCCAGGAATGCCCTGGAGATGTAAATGTAGATAGCGTAACTCAGGATCCATTGCTCTGCGTCTGCTCTGAGTAGCTGTTGAGATTCCTGGTATGAATTTGGTCAGGTGGGCTTAAGTATTTGGTCTGATCTAATATTTCTAAAACTTGAAACTGGGTGCTTTTTGAAACTGAATGTGTATGAAGATGAAGAACTCTTAAGAACTGCGAATTCACCCTTTCCCCTTAGTATTTGCACAGTCCAGTCATTTTTGCAACATCAGGTAAGCAAAAATGTTAATCTATGCCCTGTATACAAAATTGAGTTTCATAAAGACATGTCACTGTCTCACTGGATTATTGCTCCCGCATACAGTAGATTCACTGGAAAGGTATTTACTGATGCTTCTCTAGGAACCATGTATAGCAAATAACGTGGCATTATGTGCTGGAAACACAGGATTCTGGATAAAAGACATAAAGAAGGGATGTGAGAGCAATATATCAAGCAATGATTCAGAGTTTCCTTATTGTCCTTCATGTTTGTCCATGCTACACAGATCACAAAATCACACATGCAGTGGAATATCTTTGTATAAAGTGAAAAATCGGAGTAGTGTGCATAACTCTGCGGCTGTGGAGACTGTACGTGAGAGGCCACTTTTGGATGGTGGACAAAAGTTTGGAAAGAAATAAGAAAAGTAAATGACACCAGCACAAGCAATGGCACTGGATGGTGGGATGAAATAACTTATGAGGTAGTGCATATTTTAGTAAATGTTTGTAATTATTTTTAAAAAAGAGTTATTTCAGAAAAGACACCTTACCATCAATCCCCCAGCAAACAGTTGCACTTAC